GCCCTCCCGGAGCCGCCCGCCCCTGGGCGGTGGCGTCGGGTCATCTTTTACTCGAGTCTCCTGCCCTGGGTGCGGCCACTGCGATCGCTGCGCCTTGGGCTTTACCTCCGGGCCTCGGCCACGCACCCTGCTACAGCACCGCGCGCGGCGGCTGCCCCGCGGCCACCCCTTTCTGTGTGTTCCCCGGGTCTGAAGGGTCTTTGCCCTCCCGAGTCGGTCAACCTCGTCATCCCTCAAATCCAGCTGTCGTCCCCTCCGCCCGCCCACCCCAGACTGCCCCCCTGAATCCCCCAGACGATCGAGCAGCCCCTTCTCGGTGACCTCAGAATCGATGCACTTCTCGCTCGTCATTTTACTGCCGCCCTAGGAGACCATTTCCTCTGCTCGACCGGGAAGGTTTTGAGGGCGAGAGCAACGCTTATTTGGTCTTTGTTGAATTGGATGGAAAAGTCCAATCGTAGTCTCCTTTTTAGTTTCCTGAAAACTGCTTTCTGCTTTTTCAGTGGGCTCCCTGCTGGCCACCTATGGCTGGTACATTGTCTTCAGCTGCATCCTTCTCTACGTGGGCTTTCAGAAGCTTTCCACCCGGCTGAGGGCCTTGAGGCAGAGGCAGCTGGACCGAGCTGCGGCCGCTGTGGGTGAGTACCCCGTTATCACATGAAGCCAGTGGCTTTACACCTCCTTCTGTGAGTATTTAAAAGTTAAGTCGGTTGTTAAGATTGACAAGTACGTGATTCTGATCTGTATGGGGAGAAAAAAAAAAACATTTTATGCTTCTGAAATTGAATTTGGCGAATGTGCGATAGACTTTTAATCTCAGAGATTTTAAGATGAGATGGAAAATATATACCCGCTGGTGTGTAGAGAACCCACTGCATATCTTGTCGAAGGCTTTTTATTTATAGGGTGGATTAAGATGAAAATGTCAGCTTCTCCGTGTTCGTGGGTCTGCCTGCTAAATCTTAGTTCTGTCCAGGGTTCAGACCTTTGTAGGTGATGAGGAACCCAGCTGTAGTTTTTCCACATCCACTGCGTTTCGATTTTCACGACTTACTCATCAGATCTAATTTCAAATCATACTAGGTGGTTTTCAAAACTCATTCTCTCTGAAATTGTTTTACTAGCCGTTTTACTAGGTAGAAGCTATAGTTTCTGAGGCTATAACCAAAAGAAATGTTAAACGCTTTGAAAACAGCTGCATAATTAAACAAATACAAATCCTCATTCATCTGAGTTGTCACCATGGTTACTGAGGTTGGGCAGGAAAGAGAATGTCATAATACAAAAGTAGTCATTAGTGGAAAGACTTAGGAAATCTCTTCACTGAAATATACCTCTCCCCTCGTAAAACCCTCCGGTCCTGCCCTTCTCAGCCTTTTTGATTCTTGGCCGTACATGCAACAATAAACTGCCAAATACAGTTGTGAATCTTGCATAAGATGCAGGATTTCCCGAAGTGGATGACAGTGGTGTTTGGGAACAGCTTCAGTCACCTGTTACAGCCATCTCGAGTGAAGTGCCGACAACCAAAGAATAGATCTCTCAGTCGATGGTAGAACAGGCGCATCAGAAGAGGATTGTTTTTATGAAGCCCTGCAGAACGTAAATGTGCAGTGAAAAGCGTTGCGTTGCGCTGTTCAGTTTCGTTAGAAAAATTAGGTCGAAAAAAGCTACACTTGACCGATTGATTCTAAGAATGACCCAACAGTTAGAAATGTTACCGAAATTCACATTTCTATTAAGTGGAACTCTCGTTTCGTTTCGTTTTGTTTTTGTTGTTAAAGTTCCAGTCATCTCTGCCACCACACACACCCACGGACCCCTGTGCTAGTTGGATCACAGCATTTTGACCCCTGTTTTATGTGGGTTCAGTTAAGTGGCTTTTCCCCACCATTAGCTGTCTGTAGGTAATGGTGATCACTTACGCTTTGAAAGGCAACAATGCGAATTTATAAGTTCTGATTTTTCCTTCTTAGAAAAATGAGTCACACTACTGTGTAGTCGCCCCCTTAACAGATGAACAGATAGAGAACTTTATGGTGCGTTTATATAATTTTACTTTGTTTCGTAAACCAGATAAAAACAGGTAAAGCCGGGACGCTCATTTCTATGAATGCTAGCTGGAAGGATTTTTCTTTTCTGTAGAAACAGGGATCTGGGCTAATTACGTGATGGCTGATGATCAGGACAACTTTATCTTTCCTTAGTGGTCTTCTAGAATTCCGGTCTGCCTAGAGACGGGGTGTTGGGAGGTGTCCAGGTCACGGAATGTAGTCTCAGTATATTCCCGATGGATATACTGAGACTAAATCCTGCATCTTATGCAAGATTCACAACTGTATTTCAATATCCATTGAAATATCCGTGATATTTCAGTCACGGGGCCTATCCCAGACTTTCTGAATTCAAATCGCCGAGGGAGCCCAGAAGTGTGCTCTAATAGAAGTTTCTGGAGCTGTGGATATTTAACTAGAGTTAAGACTGGGAGGGACGGTCCTCTGGCCCCGTGAGCAGCAAAGTATATGCAGAAGGGTAGAATTATTCATGTCAAAACATTTTTGCCCTGTGCGACATCTGTACTTTTGTATACTCCTAATCCTATGGACTCTCAAGAGTTTCCATTTTATGTTATACAAGGTGCTTCGGCACAAACTCTTTGTCATTTTAGAACCTGACGTTGTCGTAAAACGACAAGAGGCTTTAGCAGCTGCTCGCCTGAAAATGCAAGAAGAATTAAACGCCCAAGTTGAAAAGCATAAGGAGAAACTAAGACAGGTACGAACTGGTTTCAGTTTAAATATTTCTTCCTGTTTAGAGGGGAAATACTCTGAAAGAAATGTCTTTCATTTATGGTTTTGCTTTCTAGGGGTTCCCTCACGGCAGTGTTTTCACCCAACAGAACTGTGTGCCCTGGTGCCATGCCACCAGACACACACGGTACCCATTCAGCTTCTTGCCCCTTTGTCCGTCTAAAGCCACGTGTCCCATGATCGGGCCTGTCGGGATGATGACGAGTCGGGGATGAAGTCGATGGGCTCGATCCCGGGTCGAGATGGAGTTTTGAGAGATTTTCTCAAAGGGCCGTAGTTTGGTCGGGCGGGGGGTGAGGGTTGTATAAGAGGAGGCAGAAGGAGGAACCGAGGATGACTGTTGGAAGTGACCTGAGCCGCCAGGTGGCTTGTGTTGCTTTTCACAGGTGTAGGTCACCCACCAGATTTGACCCCGTCTGTGTAACTGAAACACAAGTGTGGACTCTGCTTCCTGGTTTCAGTCCAGATGTTTCTCTACCCGTCTTTGTCCCCTCGGAAGGAAGCCTCCGCTAGCTCTAAGGCAGCAGGGAAGGTGGTCTTCCTGTCGGTCTTGCATGTGGGCTCTGGTGTTTCCATGGTCACGTGTCTTTCTGCCACATCCTAATGGCTTTTGTTGTTTCTGCCTGGTCATGCAGTACATGGCTGGTGTCCCCAGCTTGGCCGGAGCCCAGAAGGAAAGGGCAGGACAAGACCACACCGACTGCCCACACTCACCCTCCGGCATCGCCCTGTCTGGGCAGCTTCTTTCCACGTTCAGTTTGTTGTCCATCTTCCACTAACCTAAAATGTACCGGCACATTTATCTAATTTTTAAAATCGTGTGATTTAAAAAAAATTCATGACATACGAACCTGTACCATGAAAATTTAAGTCTCTGCCTTCTGCTCCCCCAGCCCCTGCCGCCCAGGCACTCCAGATTAAGCCTTTAAGAATTTTTCCAAAAATATTTTAGCCATGTATAAACACCCATCTTTTTTTCCATAGAAATGGCAGCACAGTACACATATGCCTTTTTTTTTTTTTTTTTATTTGATCATGGTTGACATTCAGCATTATATTAGTTTCAGGTGTACAACATGGTGATTAGACGTTTATATATAAAACTTGCGAAGTGATCACCCGGATTAGTCTGGTCCCCACCTGGCACTCTACACGGTTATTACAGTATTTATCGACCATATTCCCTGTACCGTACTTTGCATCCCCGTGACTGTTCTGTAGCTACCGATTCGTACTTAATCTCTTCGCATTTTTCACCCCCCACTCCCAACCCCCCGCTTCCATCTGGCTCCGTCAGTTCTCCGTATCTATGAATCTGTTTCTGTTTCGTTTGTTCATTTATATTGTTCTTTAGAGTCCACGCGTAAGTGAGATCGTGCGGTATTTGTCTTCCTCTGACTAATTTCACTCTGTGTAACACCGTCTAGGTCCATCCACGTTCTCTCGAATGGTAAGATTTCATTCTATTTTATGGCCTAGAATATTCCACTGTATACGTGTACCACTTCTTTATCCAGTTGTCTGTGGATGGACGTGTAGGTGGCTTCCACATCTTAGCTATTGTAAATAGCACTGCAGTGAGCATAGGGGTGCATATCTGTTTGAAATAGTGTTTTGGATTTCTTAGGATAAATGTCCAGAAGTAGAATTGCTGGGTCATAATAAGGTAGATCTATTTTTACTTTTTCGAGAAACCTCCAAACTGTTTGCAATCCCACCTACAGTGCACGAGGGTTCCCTCTTCTCCACATCCTCATCGGCACTGGTTGTTTGTCGATTTTTGGATGGTGGCCGTTCTGACAGGTGTGAGGCGATATCTCATTGTGGTTTTAATTTGCATTTCTCTCATGATTTCTGGCATTGAGCATCTTTTCATATGTCTGTTGGCCAAGTGTATGTCCTCTTGGAGAAATACCTATTCTGGTCCTCTGCCCATTTTTTAGTTGGATCGTTTGTGCTTTTTAGCGTTGAGTTCTTTAAAATTTTGGATATTAAACCCTTACTGGATGTATCATTGGTGCATATCTTCTCCCAGGCAGGAGGTTGTCTTTCTGTTTTGTAGCCTTTGCTGCGCAAAAACTTTTTAGTTCGATGCTTCATTTATTTGTGTTTTTCTTTTGTTTTCCTTGCCCAAGAAAATATATCAGGAAAAAAAAAAATAAGAACAACGTCAGAGTTTACTGTATCTGTTTTCTTCTAGGAGTTTTATGTTTTGGGGTCTTACATTTAAGTCTTTAATCCATTTTGACTTTATTCTTGTATATGATAAAGAAGATGGTCTCGTTTCCTTTTTTTTTTGTATGTATCTGTCCAGTTTTCCCAGCACTATTTTTTTCCATAGACTATCTTTACCCCAATGTATATTCTTGCCTCCTCTGTTATAGACTAGTCGACAGTATGGGCGTGGGTTTATTTTGGGCTCTCT